GTTTTACATGATTGTTGAATGAAATTAACGTAATTATTAATTTATTGTAAAAACATGACAGATAATCTGTGAAACTGATCCAGTTCAGCTGTTGTTTATCAGTTTCTTTTGGGGCTGTGAGCTGTTGCCCTCTTAGGACGCCATTTTGCTCCGCCATGTTGTCACAGACGACACCAGTGTACGGTATTGGCGGGGCTCAGTCTAGTGATATTTAAGTCTATGCTTCAGATGAGTCGAATCTTTTGATTCGTGTTAAAGACTCATTCCAAACGAAGCAGAATCAAATGATCTGATTTGTAATAAAGACTCAGCAGAAACGCTGAAAATTCATGATTTGGGTCAGTGATTTACGTTAAAAACCTAGCAGTTCGTTCGTGTTGATGTTAACCAGGTCAGCTAACATTAAATGTCATCTTTGTTGTTCCTTCTGCTAATTTTTCATCACGTGTTCGTTGTTTGTTGTGTAGAGCTGTAAAAAAGTGAGCTGAATTTACCATCTCTAGCGTCCATCAGGTTAGCATCCATCCATCAGCCGGAGAGGCCCCCCGGGCTTCTCCCATTGGATGCCTTCAGCTGCACCTGTTAGACCCGCGAGCCAATCACGCGCCGTGACCGTTGCTCTCCAAGATGGCGGCTTCCTGAGCGCCGCTTCACTCATCTCCGCGGCAGAAAGTGACATGTACGTTTGTCTCCGAACCCTCTTTTTTTTTTTTTCTTTAGAAAATTGATTGATGCGGGGCCCGAGCCATTAAAACACGGAAGCGTTTTTCCTTTTTTGTTTTAACCGCCAGCCGCCCCGCTCCTCACCTCCCCTGTCTTTTGTGGTTTCATGGTCCGAGGAGACCCCCCTCCTCCTCCGGGCGGGTGTCGGTCCGTTTCTACCCGAGCATGGCCACCGACAACAGGATCAATTTCTGGAGGAGAAACGCTAAGGTTCCCGGAAGGTTAGTTCTCGTTCTGCTCATTTCTGTGTGGAGTTTCAGACAAAACTACTGCATTGTTGCCGAAGTGGCTGATGGTCAATGTAGTTCATTTATATCAAGCTAACCAGAACGAAAAGAAGCTGCTGAAAGCTTGTTCCTGAGTCGTTTACAGAAATGTTATTTCGTGTCGTGAGTTAAACTCAGTAAATAATCGTTTTTGTTGCATAAATTACCTTTATGTTGCGGTTTCCATCGTTGCAGGATGACAGCTGGTGACACAAATTATTCAAATCACATTAATCACCCGCCGCTTAAAGAAGTGTGTGTTCGTCTGTTAGCAAAATATCTCGTGATCCGGTGCACTGACCTTAATGAAACTTTCAGTAAATAATCAGTGGATAGGCTTCTACAACTGATTAACTTTTATGGACAACCCCATCCAAGATGGCCGCCACAGCTAGCTACAATTAAAAAACACCAAAATTGCTATAATTCCGTCAATTTTACGAATAAGTAGATAAAATCTGGTGAGGTAGTAGCTGAGACTGATCACTAACACACAGTCTGAGCTCTAGCAGATTGTTTAAGATCTTCAACTTTTTTGCCACTAAGCTATTTGGAATCCATTCGCTTTGTCTGTTAGCAAAATATCTCATGAATCATTGGATGGATTTTATTGAAACTTTCGAGGTATAATTAATAGATGTGCTTCTACAACTTATTAACTTTTGGGGTCAACCTGATTTAAGATAGTTGCCACAGCCAACTAATTTTATAAACACTAAAATAGCTGTAATTAAGGCAAACTTGCTTACATTGAGCTGAAATTTGGTGTGGCAGTAGCTGAGAGTGGTTACAACTCAGAGGTGCATGTGATATTTTGCTAACAGACAGACAGGATTGATGCCAAAGGTTAAAGCAAAAGTATTGTGCAATGTGTAGATACTACAACACAAAATCTTAGTTTTAATCTGAAAAACTGACTGCGCTTTTAACACTTCTTGTTTGTTGTTGTGTCGGCCATCTTAAACGTGGCTTATTCCAAAAGTTGATTACTGTTCAGTTAACCCAGCCATTGAATCATCAGATATTTTGCTAACACAACAAGCCAACCCAAACACACAGATGTGATCAAAGATGTCATCACCTGCCTAAAGCCGGAGATTAAAAAAATGACATCTACAAGTTTTAAATTTTATTTATTTATTTTTTTCATACATTAGCATCATGCTAATGTACCCGCTGGACCTCATCATTTAAATAGGAGATGTTTGTTCTCATTTGTTCTGTCCTGTTGGGAGTTTTTATGTTCCTGTTGGAAGGCTGAGCAGGAAAAACAGGAGCTCGGCGCGTTTGAGAAATCTGAGAGCCGAGGATCTCCAAGGAGAGGGAGTGGCCGTCTTGTGTCGCCCACAGGGATCTCTGTGAAACCGTTGGAGGGTTGGACTCTGGAAGTGCACGTTGGAACAGGAAGGCGAGAGCAGCTAGTTCGGCCCCGGCCGCCTGTCCTTGAGCCGTTCCTGATAAAAAATTTAAAAAAAACCTGCGTGAGGACGACAAACACGATAATCAGCACCTCTCAGACGGACGTGGCTCTCCGTTCACGAGAGAAAACACCAGCTGGATGTGAAGATTTACACAAAAACCTCCTGTTAAAAGCTGAAACACAGAGATTATCCTGAACCAGGAGTTTTACATTAACTGCTGAGTTTTTGTTTTTAGTTACTAAACAGCAGTGCAATTGAAATATTTTACTATTTAAAAACTTAACTCATACAGAAAAAAATGTAAGTATATCACCACATTTAGGCCAAATKACATTGATTTTTACTAGGCTGGATCAGATAGATAATACCTAACAGATATTTAATACCCAAAAACTTTCTTTTAGTTTAAAACAAGGGGGGTAAATTCTAAACAGTGTCAGTATTTATTGAAGAAATATTTGTTTTTTTGAACCTTTTTATTTGTTAAAAATACAGTAAAGACACCCTTCTTTTCTGCTGTTTTTACCAACTCATATATACTGAGGTAAGGAATAAAACAAGGACAAATGAAGCCGCTCTTCATGGCTGTCTAGGTGGAAAAATGCAGATTATTGCCAGTTCTTGTTGGAGTTTTTTTTTCTGCCTCGAGTTGGCAGAGAGTTGAGGAGAAAACAGCTGAGGTTGAAGATTCTTGTGTCCGTTGAACATACTGCCCACCACAGGGAGGTGAAGCTCTGCAAGCTGTCCACTATTACTGCTCACTGAGGGACAAAAAAACAGACAAAGTTCATTTAAAGGAAGAAAATGAGCCGCCAGTGCAAGTAAATGTTAGTCACTCAAACCATAATATGACATATTTCAATACAAATATTAATTAAGCTGCGTATTGGCAATAAATTCAGAGAGAAATCAGAGAAACTGAGACGTTCATTCTCTAAACATGACGTCCCAGTGGCTTTCAACCCCAAAAACACAGTACAGCAAAAACTGGTTCACCCCAAAGATCTGGCCCTCCGGCACAGAATAATGTTGTGTATGCTGTTAAGTGCCAGCAGGACTGTGACCAGTTATACATCATGGAAACAAAGCAGCTACTGGCCATAAGAATGGCCCAACAGAAAAGCGCAACATCATTAGGCTAAGATTCTGCAGTCTACACTCATTTACAGGCAGGACTCTGCAGTTTACACTCATCTACAGGCCAGGACTCTGCAGTTTACACTCTTCTACGCCAGGACTCTGCAGTTTACACTCTTCTAGGCCAGGACTCTGCAGTTTACACTCATCTACAGGCCAGGACTTTGCAGTTTACACTCATCTACAGGCCAGGACTCTGTAGTTTACACTCATCTACACACTAGGACTCTACAGTTTACACTCATATACAGGCCAGGACTCTGCAGTTTACATTCCTCTACAGGCCAGGACTCTGCAGTTTATACTCATCTACAGGCCAGGACACTGCAGTTTATACTCATCTACAGGCCAGGACTCTGCAGTTTACACTCATCTACAGACCAGGACACTGCAGTTTATACTCATCTACAGGCCAGGACTCTGCAGTTTACACTCATCTACAGACCATGAATCTACAGTTTACACTCATCTGCAGACCAGGACTCTACAGCTTATACTCATCTACAGGTCAGGACTCTACAGTTTACACCCATGTACAGGCCAGGACTTAACAGTTTACACTCATCTACAGGCCAGAACTCTACAGTGTGCACTCATCTACAGGCCAGGACTCTGTAGTTTACACTCGTCTACAGGTCAGGACTCTACAGTTTACACTCATCTACAGGTTAGGACTCTACAGTTTACACTCATCYACAGGYYAGGAMTCTRCAGTTTACACTCATCTACAGGTTAGGACTCTACAGTTTACACTCATCTACAGGCCAGGACTCTAACAGTTTACACTCATCTATAGGCTAGAACTCTACAGTTTACATTCCTCTACAGACCGGGACTCTACAGTTTACACTCATCTACAGGTTAGGACTCTACAGTTTACACTCATCTACATGCCAGGATTTAACAGTTTACACTCATCTATAGGCTAGAACTCTACAGTTTACATTCCTCTACAGACCGGGACTCTACAGTTTA